TGATGATCGACTAGGTAGTCTAGCCTTGGGAGGAGGCAACACTCGAGGAGGAGGAGGAGAACAAGCATTGGTAGACTCTTCTGTTGGTGTCATTATTAACAAGTGTATCGTATTCCTACTCAATAACGCAACTATACTGTAGCGGGGACTACACCTAGTAGAGGACAAAATGTTGCCATCCCCCATAGATTCTAATATACGCCATAGGTTATACTGTTATAAGGAGCATTTATTTATATCCAGAGTTGAAGCTGTATGGTCATCACTTAGTGGATACACACTCCTATACGTTCAAAGATCGACGACGACTTAATCAACAACACGACAATTTCACGCGCCATAAAATTCCCAAGCATGGAAACGTGTTGTGCTCAGCGTGATATTCCTGATAGCATCCCTAGCTGATGGTTATTCAACAAGATTACTGCATTTCTGTTCCTGATCCTGAGATCAAGAACAGCCCTATCCCCATCATCAGGGGCCGTATGCGGATCCTGATTCATGAATCTGAGTCCATGATTCAACTCACGCTCTGATCCTGATTCATGATTCAAGTCACACCTTGATTCGAGAGAACTGATTCAGATTCTTAGCTCAGGAGAAAGAGTCGAGATTTCTGAGTATGAGTACTTGAGACAGAGTCAGATTACGTAATCATGAGCAAGATCCTCGATCCTTGATTTTAATCAGCCGCTGAATCCGATTCCTGATCCTTAATCACGATTCAAGATTCAAATGTATACTCAATGGCTGATTCAGAGTTTTTGATACTGAGTCAGAGTATTTCATCAATTCGAGATTAAATACTCAGAGTTGGGATTTTTACTCGTGATTCGAGATTAATTCTCAGGAGTCGAGATTCTTTTACTCAACCTCAAAGCTGCTCAGATTCAAGATCGCAATCTCACCTTGAGCATGATCCGGGATCATACTCATGATGCACAAGCTCACAGTTTAACACGGGGATTAATCTTGATTCTGTACCGGGGGTCCGGACCCCCGGTACCAAACCCTGATTCTGATTCTCGACCTTGATTCACGACTTCAGCGCGCGCCACGGTAGACCTTCTCAGCTCCTTGCGAGTACTACTCGCCGAGTAGGTTCTTAGAATGACCGTACCG